ATTTGAGAATTATACAGTACAAGACAGATGTAGTAATTAATAGTCCAAGAACCATATATATACATGTGGTGCCGTGCCAGACAGTAAGATAACAAATAACGCTCGTATACATTCAAACACATTTACTCTTGTGAATGCACACATCTATTTCTTATCTTTGTGAGCATCTCCAAGAATCTCCGAAAGATTGGGATGGCATAGTTTACAAAGTCACCATAAGTACTGCATTATCGACAGGTACATTATCTATTACTTAAGGAGAAACCGTAAATGTTAACAATATAACTAAAACCTAAGTAGTGTATTTCACCATAAAAAACCTAACCAACTGATATATACTCACTTCACACTATCATCTTCATTCAGCCAAGGTTTGTGCAAACCTTAGCTCCCCTCATGTTGCTGCCCTCAACGAGACGCGTGAGCGGCGTTGTGGCAACGACACGCAGTCGGTTCTCCTCGGTAATTAAGCAACTCACGGAGAACATAATTCGCATGGGAATGGCCCACTTGTTTTGTCCTCCTCCGATGTCACGTCTGCTGACTCACTAACGAGCGCCCCACCCCCCCCCCCCCCCCGCCCCCCGGGGCGCCCACACACACCCCATCACCACCATATCGTACGGCATATTTTGATCCCACCCTAAAATTTTACACCCTATTACATCGAGCGTTTAAACAGCTACATAAAATATTAAATACTCTCTCCATCTACTTTTGATAGTCATATTTTATCTTGACACACAAACCAAGAATAAGTAATTCTACTTATCATCCATTTAAGCATGCTCCTAGTCATTCCTCGTAACCAAATGATTCATTAATATTTACATTTCTCGATGCCCATTCAGCCAATCTTGTGTGGAAGAATGGAGAGTCATGCATTAAATCCAAGAAAGTCATTAAGATGATAAGTTGTTGAATTGAAATATGCCTATGAAAAATAGATGGAGGGAGTATAGAGTAAGAAATAACTAGTTATACAGATTGCGACTACTTTGCGAGACGAATCTTTTAAGTCTAATTGCTCGATGATTTGACAATGCGGTGCTACAGTAAACATGTGCTAATGACGGTCTAATTAGGCTTAATATATTCGTCTTACAGTTTACTGACGGATACTGTAATTAGTTTTTTTATTAGTGCTCGAACACCCCATATGATATCTTATATAATACTATATGTGGCACGCCAAAACTTTATACCCCGGATCTAAACACCCTCTCAGTGGCCTTGATGTCTCCATGCCGAATCACCATGGCCGCTACTCAAATAGAGCTTACTAGCACTGTCCTCGAATTGGGGCATGCCAAAGCTGGTCAGCACTTCTGTAGGGGGAATAACACGGGGAGAGAAAGAGGATGTGCCATTTGTTAAAGCACACGGGGAGAGAAAGAGGATGTGCCATTTGTTAAAGCAAGTTTAATAGGATAGCCAACTATTAGCTCCAATTCATCTATAGCTAATCTAATAGTTCATTCATACAATAGTTGCATACTACACTGTTAATACATGGTCCCACCTATCATACACACACTACGTTTTGAAGTCTCCGTGCTACAGCTGGCTGTAGCCCGCTGCCTTTCTCTCTCCTTATTTATCTCCTTAAAATATGTTTGCAGCTGGCTTATAGCCTGCTATTGTACCTGCTCTTAGACTGTTCCTGCTTGTTGGGAGGGGTCGGAAACAGAGCAACGAACACAGCCTAGAGTGAGTTCTTTCCCCAACGTTTTCAATTCACATCCTCGTTTTCCACGCGCATGTTTTTCAAACTGCTAAATGGTGTGATTTTTGCAAAAAAAAAATTCATAGGAAAGTTGCTTTAAAAAAACATATGAATCCATTTTTCAAAAAACACAGCTAATACTTAATTAATTACGTGCTAATGGACCGCCCATTTTATGTGCACAGGAGATTTGTTCTCAAGAACGAACACGGCCTAAGAGAGATAGTCCAATTTGAAACAAAAGTAAGAAATCATAGATCAAAGTGAAAACAATAGCTAACTAGAGTCCAATGGGAAAGTGTGGGAATAATACCTAGCCCAATGTATAATTCACTTTAGGTTTTTTATACTAGTTACCACATCAGTCAATTATAATTTATTTTTTTCCATCTTATCAATCATATTGAACTAGAACTGCCCTCCTACACCCCACCAACCCTCATTTAATAAGGACATTCTACCCCTTCGTCCCGTAAGAAAACTAACTTTATATGACGAAGAAAGTAGTTTTCATCCTTAATCTCTTAAAAGCAAAGGGCAAAGTCATTTAGATATTATTCATGGCAAATGAGATGGTAATAGTCAACAATTACTATTTTTTTCTAAAATAAGTGCAATTATATATTTAAATTTTGTCCTAAAATAAGCACAATCCTATCATACTACTTACCCATTCAAATTTTTATCCATCTTACCCTCAACTACCATCCAACTAACATCCTTCATTTAATATGGGGATATTTGGGTAATTTTTTTTCTCCTTTTATTTTTTTGCTCTCACTTCTAAAAATGAAATTATAGTGAAGTGGAGGGAGTACTTGAGGGGAGGGAGAATCAGACACGTCATTATACTAGCAAACCTCATATACAGATAATCACATCCACACACATTCAAATGTGTAAACAACATGTGTTTTTTAGGTGATTATTGATTCCGTTTCGTCTTTGTAAACAACATGTGTTTTTTGTTTTATTTTCTAAATAATCTTATAAGTTAGAAATGCTGGCCGGCTAACGAAAGTGTGTCACAGTAAAAGCTGGGAGTCGTAGCTTAGGCTCTCATCCTGGATCAAGCTTTTGTTGTTACTTTCTTCGTGCTTCCGGTTAAGGTCCTTAAATACTTTGGTTCACTCCTTTTCGATCATGATGCACATTATGGTATTTTGTTCTCCCTTAATACTCGATGTGATACATTCTAGAACTATAAATCTGGACATGCATTCGTTTAGAGTTTTTTTACTAAAATTTGTTACATTCAGCCCTGATTCTTTTTTTTTTCAAACGAAAGGGAGTATATTTGAGTGAATCGGGGTTGAGTGTCCGGTCAAGATTGCTTCCCGGTACAACGTGTTTGTGTCAGGGTCCAATTTTAATTCTTTTATTTCCAAAATCAGATCGTGACACACAGGGCCCAATTTGCATACCGTGTTAGGGTCTAATCCCTAAGTCCCTGTTTGAGGGAGGTTAAAATTTTGAGAAGCAGTTTGGTTGGTAGCCAGCTTCTTAATCATGTTAGTTTATTTTCTAGATTGTATAACTATGTTTCTTCTAAAATTTAGACCAAAAGTTAGGTCGTTTGATGAGTTTTTAATTCTAGAAGAAGCTTATATTAGATAGAAACTCTTCCAAACAGACCCAAGTCTGATTTTATTTCCCCTCCAATCGTAGTCGTCTCATCTCCTCTCCTTTTGCTCTCTCTCTCTCGTTAGACTTATCATGTCTTGATTTAATTTCCTTCCATGCCACCAACACACGTGGCCATCCGCCGACCATCCTCTCTTTTCTGAGCTTTCTTGCATTTTCTTAACTTGTAGGTTACATTTTTTTTTAAGAACATTGTAGGTTACATTCGGTGCAGCGAGGGCTATGGTAAACGAATCGGATTAGCAGCGAGTACAAACATATATATTGGCAATAGATGTGTTATGCCCCTAGGCCCATTTGAAGAGGATGTGAGTTTTCTTTTTTCAAGAATTATCATAAATATGATGATGTTGGAATTGGTAATTTGGTGAATAAGAAATAGACTGTTTTATGCAGTGATTTCAGTAAAAAAAAAAGAAATAGAATATTTTGGACACAAATTTCCCCCTTAAAACTAAGGCTCAAATCATATGAATTTAAATTCTAAAATCATTTAATATTTATCATAGTTTTAGTTTCTCCGTTGTAACGCATGTGTCTTTTTCTAGTTTACTCAAAATGTTTAAGAAATTATTTAGTCAATTTATGTTTGTTTCAATATAGCATGTACCACCAATATATAAGTGGTGGAGCGAAAATTTGAACACGAGGGGATCAATATTCAGGGCCCCTTTGATTTGGAGGAAAAACATAGGAATTTTGGGGATTTCAATCCTATAGAAAATTTTCCTATGAAGCCCTTTGAAACAAAGGATCAAATCATATCCAATCCTTTGAAATTCCTATGGAATGGACAATCCTATAGAGATTTCGGAGGAAATTTAGCAAGAGCTTCCACCTCTTGGTAATTAACTTTCCTTTGAGTCTATCCCTATCATTTAATTCCTGCGTTTTTCCTGCGATTCAATCAAACGGTCATTCCTGTGTTTTGCAATCCTCTGTTTTTCCTGCTACTATGTTTTCTCGATCTTTCGATTCAAGGGAGGCCTCAATATAATGCCACACAACAGGTATCATAAAAAATGAGCATCTACCGGGCTGGATGAAACTTAATGTTGATGGCTCTTTTGATGAATTAGAAGGCACGGGAGGAATTGGGGCAATTCTCAGAAATAGTTCAGGCGAGGTTATTTTCTCAGCCTGCGGTAAGCTGAACCGTTGTGCAGGGCCACTCGAATCTGAACTGGTAGCTTGCAGAGAAGGGCTGGTGATGGCCCTTCAATGGACCTTGCTCCCTATCGTCCTGGAAACAGATTGCCTGGAAGCTATGCAAATGATTCTTGCCAAGGAAGAAGGGAGATCTGAATTTGAGTTTATAATAAGAGAGATTAAGTGTCTCTTGATCAGGAACAGAGAGATTGTACTGACGAAAATCAATCGTAATCAGAACAGCGTCAGTCATGCTCTAGCTAGCAGAGGTCGTCGAGAATCCTTAACGGCCTTTTGGCCAGATGATTCTTGTAATTTTATTTCGCACTTGGTTTGTAATGACTCTATAGCTGAGTAATGCATCTCTTTTCCCCGAAAAAAAAAAACTAGCAGCTAGTGCGCGCGTACGCTCGTCCTGCTCTCCCTCTCCCCTATATATATATGCTTGTAAACACATTGCCGTGAAACGATTATATTAGAGCGCGAGAAGCTAGCTAGTTACAAAGTAGCTAGTCTCAAACACACACATCGCCAGCTAGCTAGCTAGCTAGCCAGGCCAATCAAGTGAGGAGAGGAAGAACATGGCGAGTAGTAGGATTCTGGTGATAGGCGGCACGGGGAGACTCGGGCGTCACCTCGTGACGGCAAGCCTCGACGCCGGCCACCCGACGGCGGTGCTCGTCCGCCGCCCGGCCACCGCCGGCGCCCGAGCCGACAGCCCCGTCAAGGCCAAGCTCACAGAGGAACTCTGTGACAATGGAGCCAGACTTGTCTATGTATGTAGTCATTAACTAGTTCAAGATGAGAAATTTTAAGGTTTATGAGAAAGTACGTTGAGGTATATAAATTTTACACTAAAATATTTCGTATCTCGAGACGCTTTGTACCGGAAATACCAAATTTTACATAAAAAATTTAAAACTCTTAATACCTATCAAGGATAGTAAAATCACCCTTTAAGATATATAACAGTTTATCAGATTAACTAGCTTCGTTGATCTACTAATATAATACTTTCTTTATTCTGAAATATTTGACGCGGTACTAAAATATACGTCATGAAAAAGAAACAGAGAGAGTATATATATTTATCACGTATTATATTAATCTGCAGGGGGACGTCAACGACCACGATATTCTAGTGGCGGCGATCAAGAACGCCGATGTGGTGATCTGCGCTGTTGGTCACACTACGCCGCACAAACTGGTGGAGAACCAGATTAAGATCATGGAAGCAATCCGGGATGCTGGCAATGTCAAGGTAGTACGTGCTATATATAACTTCAACTCCGCGCACTGCATTTGAAGTAGCAACTCCCTCCGTTCCATATTAATATGACATCCACTAACATTCATATAAAGTTGAACACATATATAAATATGGATTCGTGCATGAATATTTAAAACCCAAAATATCTTATAAGGTGTAACAGAGTAATTAAGCACCTTGGTTTTTTTATTATTATTGCAATCGACTACACACATATGAACAGAAAAATGTAACGCATGCAGCGGTTCGTGCCATCTGAATGTGGAGCTAGCGGAGCAGATGCTGGAGCCAGCAAGAAGCATCCTGGGAGCCAAGCTTCGAGTCCGCGAAGCTCTGAGAGCTTCAGGGATTCCTCACACCATCGTATGCGGCTATCTGGTTCATGGCTTCCTGCTGCCCAAGGCCGGAAACCCTGAAGCTGATGGCCCCCCGGTCACCACGGCAACCATCTTTGGTGATGGCAAACAAAAAGGTTTATATATGCATGAAACATGATGTATTATTTTAAGGGATTTTAATTTTCCTAGTGTTTTATCGTAAAATTAATAATCCCTTTGTCTTGAAAATAAAGTGAACAAAGAGCTCGTGCCTTTGTTTTCTTTTTTTTTAAAAAAAATGAAACTAAAGAAATCATCATCCCACCCATACCCCTGTTGTTCATAAATAATTATCGGTTCTGACCAGAAGTAGAGAAAAAAAAATTTAAGCAATGTGAAAGTCAATAAATTTAAATGTAAGATATTATTTTAGTACTACCTCCGTTTTTTAATATATAAACGTTTGATCATTCGTCTTATTTAATTTTTTTATAAATATAAAAAGTTTTAAGTCATGCTTAAATAATATTTGACGATAAATTAAATCATAATAAAATAAAATGATAATTACATAAATTTTTGAATAAGGCGAATGATCAGACGTATCTCAAAATATCAACAGCGTTATTTATTAAAAAACGGAGAGAGTACTCAAAACCGATAATTATTCGTGATCGAAGGGAGTATCATTCGTCCATACGCGTGGATATAATATTATCGCATAGCTAGCTAGTCAATCAATTACTTTTTCCACAAAAAAAAAGGAATACTCTTCATTCAATCAAATTATAAGTGCATGATTGATGGTTCAAAAAGTACGTTTTACCCCCCTCCTCAACTATTGAGGTAGTACGATTTACCCCCCTAAACTACAATACCGGATATTTGACACCCCCAAACTCTTAAAACCGGATAAATTACCACCCTAACTCGATCCGAAGCGGTTTTCAGCCTACGTGGCACACACGTGGCGATACAGTCAGCAAAAAAAAACAAATAAAAACAGGTGGGGCCCACCTGTCAGCCCATTTTTCTTTTTCTCTCCTCCCCCTCTCTCTCTCGGTGGGCAGAGAGAGGCCGCGGAGGCGACGCCGACGGCGAGTGGCGAGCGGCGGGCCGGGGTGGAGGCGGCTAGTAGCGGCGCCCGGGGTCGGAGGCAGCTGGGGGCGGCGGGCGCCGAGGCCGCGGCTGGGTGGCGTGCAGGCAAGGCCGAAGGTGGGTGGGGGCGGAGGCAGCTGCGGGCGGCGAGCGAGGCGCGGAGGCTGGCGGCGGGGGGCGGGCGGCAGGCGGGGGCGGAGGCGGCTAGGGGCGGCGCGCGGGGTCGGAGGCGGCTGGGGGCGGTGGGCGCGGAGGCGAGGCCGGCGGCGGGAGTCGAGGCCGTGGCTAGGGGGCGCGGAGGCGAGACCGGAGGCGGGCGGGGGCGGAGGCGGCTGCGGGCGGCGGGCGAGGAGCGGAGGCCGGCGGTGGGCGGGGGCGGAGGCGCCGACGACCTCCGCCATCCCGGCGGCCTCGCCGTCGCTTCTCGTCCGCCTCGACTGGAACATGACAGGAGCAACTGCCTCGGCTCCGGCCACGGTTGGGTCACCGTTGGGGAGGTGGGGATGGTGCGGTGGAGATTGGGGGAGGGGACGGCGACACGTAGAGGAGGGGGTCGATGACGGCGGCGGGCAAGGTCGGAGGCCGCGCGGTCGACGCGCTCCGCCTCCGCCTCCACCGTCAGTCGCTCGAGCTCGCCGCCTCCACCGCGACCACCTGAGCTCGCTCCACCGCTTGCTCTGCCGCCGCCGGTGGCTTCCCAAGCTCGCTCCGCCTCCACCGCCGCTCGAGCTCGCTCCGTCTTGCCGCCCACACGAACAAGGTCCACCTCCGTCGCCGGGCGGGCCAGCTGAGAGAGAACCTCCGTCGCCGGCCAGAGTGCGCGCGCGTGCAAGGGGAGTTGGAGGGATACGTATGACATGTGGGCCCAGAGAATATTTTTTATTTTCTTTGCTAACTATATTGCCATGTTTGGCGCCACTGTACAAATTCAACACTAAACCGCTAAGAACAGTGCTCAAGGGATTATTTATCCGGTATGAATACTTGAGAGTGTAAAATATTTGATTTTGTTGTTTAGCGGGGTAATTCGATCGACCGCGATAGGTCAGGGGTAAAACGTACTTTTTCCTAATTTATATTAAACATATCAGCAATGTTCGTGGACGATAAGGATATGAGCGCGGTGACAATAAAAGCCGAGGAGGACCCACGAACAGTCGACAAGATACTGTATGTGCAGCCACCTGCGAATTTGTGCTCTCTCAATCAGCTCGTCTCCGTGTTGGAGAAGAAGATCGGCAGGGACCTCGAGAAATGCTACGTGCCCGAGGAAGAGCTTGCAATAAAAATCGAAGGTAAATTAATTTGAATCAATTAATCAATCTAAGAGCTCAACGAGAGAGCTAGCGAGCTCGTTAATTAATCAATAAATAAATTAACTAATTAATCTGCCCTATACATACTACATAAATAATTCCGGGTGGTGGATGTATATGTATATGTGTGTAGCAGCATCCCCGTTCCCGCTCAACTTTCAGTTGGCCATAGTGCACTCGGCGTTGCTGCCCGGGGTGGCGTCGTGCGGGCAGACCGCCGTCCGCGTCGAGGCGACGGAGCTGTACCCGGACATGGAGTACGTCACCGTCGAGGAGTACTTCGACAGCCTGATATGATCTGACGATACTATTCATCAGCTGGTCGAGCCGATCAGATTCGTATGCTGCATGTTAATTACTCCCATTTCAAAATGTTTGACACCGTTGACTTTTTAAGTATATTTTTTACCGTTCGTCTTATTAAAAAAAATTATAAAATATATAAAACTATATATGTACATAAAAGTATATTTAACAATGAATCAGATGATATGAATAAGACGAATGGTGAAACACGTACTTAAAAAATCAATAAATCAATAGTACCAAACATTTTGAAATGGAGGGAGTAATTAGCTGCTTTGTTCTAGCCTGTACCACTATTTTCGTAAGGGAATATATGTGCATGTACTGTATCATTATTATTTATTATACGGGATACCTTCTTGGTAAAACTCCGCGTGTAGATGATGAAAAGTTGTACTCCGTTCTATACAGTTTACTTGTTGTTCTAGCATTTGAAATTTGTATAATAATATTTGTCGTTTTCAGATTTTAAAATATTTTTAGAGTCCTTCCTACCATTCACCAACAAAGTACTAATAATAAGAATTAATACTCATTGCAAATATGTACTACTTACTCCTTCCTAAATTGATAATCATATAATAGAATTTAAAATTTCTCAAATGGATCATCACATAACCGCATGTACACGAATTTCATTGAAATACAATTAATGTATCATGAGAGAATATGTGCATTCTAGGGTGTAATTGGTATGGTATTTTAATCGATGCATGTTTTTTTAATAATGGAATATAATAAAAAAATATGTATTGTGGGATAACATGTGCATGGTGTCTTGATTGATGCGATTTAAATTATCCTTGGTCTTGGTGCATAAACATATATATAATGATCGATTTAGTATAGATGGAGTAATACTCATTGCAATGTTTAATGCTTTGCTTTCGAAAAGATGGTTAATTAGGATGCAGTTCACCTCATAATTTAGGATGAAATTTATTTAGGATGAGATTTATTAGAACGATAAATGAATTGGAACATAGGGAATATTGTTTGTTATAGGTTATACTTCTTTAGGTAAACTAGTTGCCACCCCACGTCTTTACCGCAGGTCTTGTTCTTTTATCGTCAAACAAAATCATAGTTGATGAAAAGTTGTACTCCGTTCTATACAGTTTACTTGTTGTTCTAGCATTTGAAATTTGTATAATAATATTTGTCGTTTTCAGATTTTAAAATATTTTTAGAGTCCTTCCTACCATTCACCAACAAAGTACTAATAATAAGAATTAATACTCATTGCAAATATGTACTACTTACTCCTTCCCAAACTGATAATCATATAATAGAATTTAAAATTTCTCAAATTAATCATCACATAACCGCATGTACACGAATTTCATTGAAACACAATTAATGCATCATGGGAGAATATGTGCATTCTAGGGTGTAATTGGTATGGTGTTTTAATCGATGCATGTTTTTTTAATAATGGAATATAATAAAAAAATATGTATTGTGGGATAACATGTGCATGGTGTCTTGATTGATGCAATTTAAATTATCCTTAGTCTTGGTGCATAAACATATATAATGATCAATTTGGTATAGATGGAGTAATACTCATTGCAATGTTCAATGCTTTGCTTTCGAAAAGATGGTTAATTAGGATGCAGTTCACCTCATAATTTAGGATGAGATTTATTAGAACGATAAATGAATTGGAACATAGGGAATATTGTTTGTTATAGGTTATACTTCTTTAGGTAACTAGTTGCCACCCCGCGTCTTTGCCGCAGGTCTTGTTCTTTTATCGTCAAACAAAATCATAGTTTTAAATGGTTAGGTGCAACTCTATGTATATACGAAATACATGATAATGTGAATTTATATATGCCTTGTGTTATTACAATACAATTCATGCTTTATTTTTCCAAGTGTCATTGTATATTGTTATAATATATGAATATTATTTTCATGCGCAATATGGGCTTAGTTGTATTTAGATATGGGCTTAGTTGTATTTAGATAGTTTGCATCTCTCTACTTCCCTCAAGTTTTTTTCTGAAAATGGATTCAGTTAATGATACCTAATAATCGTATGCTATCTTATCATGCATAATAAAATAAAACAACACACATATTAAATAATAATCACATATTAAACAATAATTTGTTTGTATTCGGAAAACATGGTATTATGCATAAAATATGTATCAGTGCTATGTGTGACTATAAGGTGGAGCAAAGGGAGTTGAATGAATAACTAATAAATGATCGAATTGGATGTATAAGTAGCTTCTTAATCCAACGGTTGTTATTTTTATACTAATATGATCTGATGACTTAAAATTGTTGATGATGTGGCTTCTTGCATGTCTTGCTTTATAGGAGTAAATGCCCCTTAGTGGGTACCGACTATATAGGAAGATAGGATACCTCGCATGTAAACGATGAAATTGTAATGTTTAATACTCCGTCCATCCACAAATATAAAGACCTTAGTGTTTAAAATTGATTCATAAATAAATAGAAGAACATCCAATAATCTTATTCTACCAATCACTTATTTTTAATCCAATCTTTGCCCTAACCACCCCTTATTTAATGCTAAATGTACTATTTCTCTCAACCTTAGCCTCTTTAAGAAAAGACAAAAGTTCTTGCATTTGTGGATAGGAGTAGAAAATATTAGGTGCAGGGATGGATCCATCGGTAATTAAATTAAAATTTTGAAAATATTAAATCCAGACATATATATTTGGAAATCAACCAACTGCAATCCAATTAACAAGGTATTCAATTATGTTTTGAATTAATAAATGCAAAGATATTATTTTCCATAGTGAGTAGCATGCATATGGCCTGTTTAGAAAGCTTATGAGAATCAAAAGCTCCCTTAAATAGTTTAATTTTTATCCAGATTATAAGAACTGTAGTTATAGAATCTAGAAAATGAACTAAAGTCAGAAATTGTTTGTGACATCCCGGCCCAGGGCTTAATAGGATTAATAGAATACTCATATCAACAAGTTGTAACTTTTTTCCGGAAGCCAATCTTGAAAGAACTCTGAGGTTAAACGTGATTGGCTTGGAGCAATTTCGGGATGGGTGACCGACCGGGAGATTCTTCCCAGGTGTACACGAGTGGGGCAATTTCGGGATGGGTGGCCGACCGGGAGATTCTTCCCTAGTGCATACGAGTGATTTCGGGATGGGTGACCGACCAGGAGATTCTTCCCAGGTGCACACGAGTGAGGACAATGTGTTGGTCGGTATCAGAGCCTGCACATGAGTGATTTCGAGATGGGTGACCGACCGGGAGATTCTTCTTGGGTGCACACGAGCGGAGCAATTTCGGGATGGGTGACTAACTGGGAGATTCTTCCCAGGTGCACACAACGGGTGCACATGAGGAGCAATTTTGGGATGGGTGACCGATCGGGAGATTCTTCTCCGGGTGCACACAAGTGATTTTGAGGACAATGTGTTGGTCTGCACATGAGTGATTTCGAGATGGGTGACCGACCGGGAGATTCTTCTTGGGTGCACACGAGCGGAGCAATTTCGGGATGGGTAACCGACTGGAAGATTCTTCCCAGGTGCACACAACGGGTGCACATGAGTGGAGCAATTTCGGGATGGGTGACCGATCGGGAGATTCTTCCCGGGTGCACACAAGTGATTTTGAGGACAATGTGTTGGTCGGTATCAGAGCCTGCACATGAGTGATTTCAAGATGGGTGACTGACCGGGAGATTCTTCCCGGATGCACACAAGTGGAGCAATTTCAGGATGGGTGACCGACCGGGAGATTCTTCCCGGGTGCACACGAGTGAGGATAATGTGTTGATCGGTATCAGAGACGACTCTCGCGGGACGTTACAAAATCGTCGGTGTCTTAAGGGGCGAGAGGCGGGGCGTTACAAAATGGTGCCAGAGCCGACTCTGACTCTCGGTGTCTCGGTGTCTTAAGGGGGTGAGGATGTGACATCCCGACCCAGGGCTTAATAGGATTAATAGATCGTTGGTGTCTAATTTTGGGATGGGTGACCGACAGGGAGATTCTTCCCAGGTGCACACGAGTGGAGCAATTTCGGGATGGGTGACCGACCGAGAGATTCTTTTCCGGGTGCACACGAGTGATTTCGGGATGGGTGACCGACCGAGAGATTCTTCTTGGTGCACACGAGTGAGGACAATATGTTGGTCGGTATGAGAGCCGACTCTCGCGGGACGTTACAAAATCGTCGGTGTCTTAAGGAGGGGAGGCGGGACGTTACAAAATGGTATCAGAGCTGACTCTGACTCTCGATGTCTTAAGGGGGTGAGGATGTGACATCCGGCCCAGGGCTTAATAGGATTAATAGAATATTCATATCAACAAGTTACAACTTCTTTTCCGGAAGCCGATCTCGAAAAAACTCTGAGGCGGCCCAGGGCTTAATAGGGTCAATAGAATACTCATATCAACAAGTTGCAACTTCATTTCCGAAAGCCGATCTCGAAAGAACTCTGAGGTTAAACGTGCTTGGCTTGGAGCAATTTCTCTGTGAGAAAAGTATATGACCTATGAAAACTGCCAGATGTAAGTGGGCCCGGTCTGGGAGAGGCGGGACGTTACATTGTTTCTTCATATTCTCACAAACAAACTACCAATTAGCTAGTACTTTTTAAAATATTAAGCTCGCCAAATAGAACCAACAGTGTTACATCCATTCAACAGAATCTCCGGTTAATGCACATGTTTCATATAGAAGTTTATTAAAATATAACTATACGAAAGAGTTTTATAACAAATCTTGTGATATATTTCCCATTTAAAATTTTTATTTATTTAATAATAGTTTGAGATTTGACTGACACATTTCATCATCACCATTTAGATGAAAAATATGTAGTGCAAATCACATATGTAGTGGAAATTTGAAAACTACCGTTGGATCGAGAAGTGGATGTTCAGGATTCGTCCACGTCACTATGAGTTAAAATAACTCTAAGTAAAATTTTAACTTCTGAGTGAATCTGCGAGTTAAAATTTTAACTCATGGAGTCATGGTGACGTGGACGAATCTCGAAGATTTATTTCTTGATCCAAAGATAGTTTCCAAGTTTTCACCACTACACATATATGTAGTGCAACCATATTTTCCTGTTAAGTGGAATCACTCATTACGGTTGATAGAAGAAGGCATCACGTCGATCGGTCCACTATGAGACGAAAACTAATGACAACCAAGCTTTATTTGACACACAGCCCATATCCAATGAACCCGACAACAAGACAAAAGTAACTAATAATTGATTAATTTCCCCTTAAAAATAATTTATTAATTGGGTAAAGTTTGGTGGCTAGAGATTTGTCACGTATTTCATCAAGTAAGTTATTTTTAGTGGGGAAAAAAATTAAAAATCGCATAGCACAAACTCACCATAGGGCTTCTGCTTACCTCTATTACTCCCTCCATTTTATATTATAAGTCTCTTTGCCTTTTCTAATATTACATTAATAAAATTTTAACCATATTTATAGAAAAAAGCAATATTTATATCACCAAATTACTTTTATTAAATCTAACATTAAACAAATTTTGATAGTTTTTTTTAGTGTTGAAAATATTGCTATCTTTTTTTACATTCTTGGTTAAAGTTAAAAATTTTAACTTAGAAAAAAAAGTCAAAAACAGAGTGGCCCTCCTTCCATTCTCTCCTTTCATTTCCATACGCGAAAAGTAAGCATCGTCTCCTCCCTAATTATATGGATATGATCCGTTAATTTACAAGCCCCCAATCTATCTCAAATTATATGGGATTGATCCGTTACAACTTACATGCATATAGGAGTGCACTTATGTAACTAGTGAAAAAAAAGGAATAAGTTCACTTTTACTCCCTAAAAAGTGATCCGGATCTAATCCATGACCTTAAACCGCAAAACCGGATATCTCGACCCCCTAACTATTGAAACCTGTGCAATTTGACTCCTGGTTTTGGAGGGTGGTTTCGCTGACATGGCGCTAACGTGGCGGTGTTGACCTAATATGTGGTGCTGGATATGGCGCTTAGGTGGCATTTCAATTAAAAACATATATATGGGACCCGTTTGTCATTCACACACACAAAATTGTGGGGCCCACTAACATGTGGGCCCCACATGTCATCCTCTCCCTTTCTTCTTCCTCTCCCCTCCCTTCTCTCTTTCTTTCTCCCTCTCCCCTTCGGCCATCCGTGAGGAGCGAGCGGCGGCGGGCAGGAGCTGAAGTAACGGCGACGGTGGCGGGACCTGATGCAGGAGCTAGCTGGAGCGGTGGCGGCGATGGGTGTGGGCCGGAGTGGTGGCGGCCGGCGGGAGCTGAAGCGGCGGACGGCGGTGGCGGCAGGCTGGAGCTGACGCGAGTGGAGGGGAGGAGGAGAAGGAGGAGGCACTGGACTACGAGGTCGCACCTCCTCGCGGCGGCGATGCGAATGGATGCGGGGAGGTGGTGGACGGCGACGAGGAGCTCAGATCCCGGCATAGGGAGTGGCGGCGGCGGCGGAGGAGAAGGAGGTAGTCCCATGTTGTCCGCTCAAGTCTCCCCCGGCACCCTCGGGCCACGCCGGCGCCTAGCTCTTGGCCCGCCGAAGCTTTCGACCGCCATCCCCCCTCTCCCACCCCTGTGTCAGCTCCAACCCGCCGCCGCCACCGCTTCAGTTCCCACTGGCCGCTATCGCTTCATCCCCCACCCGCCGCCGCTCGCTCCCCGCGGACAGCCGAAGTGGAGAGGAAGAAAGAAAGAGAGAAGGGCGGAGGAGGGGAGGAAGAAGAAAGGGAGAGTATGACATGTGGGGTCCATATGTCAGTAGCCCCCACAATTGTTTGTGTGTGTGAATGACAAACGGATCCCACATATATGTTTTTAATTGAAATGCCACCTAAGCGCCACGTCAGCACCATAGACTAGGTCAACACCGCCACGTCAGCAAAACCGCCCTCCAAAACCGCCAAGGGAGTCAAATTACAATGGTTTCAATAGTCAAATTACAATAGTTTGCGGTTTAGGGTTATGGATTAGATTCGGGTCACTTTTAGGGAGTCAAAGTGAACTTATTACAAAAAAGGTATTATTAGAGGCCCATTAGGCATGAGCCCATCCCCTCTCTTGCCAGCGGCCCATCAAAACGGTGGCTCATTGGGCCCAGCCCAAGCCTCCGCCACGGGCCGCAGCCGCTTCTCTCAGCCCATGGACTCTCGAACGGCCCACCTCAACCCGCGACTAGTGTTTTGTGCGAGCGGCGGCGGCGCCGCCGCCGGCGAGAGGAGTTACTCCGAGCAGATGGGGCGGCGGGTCCTGAACAACGCGCGGCGCACGACGGCGAAGGCAGCCCATCTCCGGCGTCACGGCCTCCTTCCTTAGCACCGAGGTGAGTACTAAGTACTAATTACTAAACCCTATCCATCTACCAGCCTCTTCCTACTGCTCCCGTGGTCCACTGAAGAAATCAATCCCATCAAAGCAGAGGATAATGTTTGGAGTAGTTGTGACGGATGCTCTACTGGAGTGGTCAGCTGCTGTGCATTTTGGGGTTTTAAGAAAACTACCAAAAGGAAAAGGAGGTGAGGTGATCTGGTCATTTCAGTTCAGAGTAGTATGTAGGATCGTTCGGTACCTAGGCTTGATAATCGGCTTATAATTTGCCCCATCTGGATGGACAAAATGTGGTGACTTAGTGTGAAACTGTGAATTGCTATTGGAACATATTCATAAGATTGCTACTAGTAGATTTTCTATTTGGTAGCTTTGCCAAGCAGTTTTGTAGTATCTGCTAATCCTCCTCCATTTTTAGCTGTTCAGGTCAGGCATGTGTTCGCTATTCCCCAGACTATGCTGCGCTTGAGGCCTTTGTGCTTCTTGGCGTGTTGACAAGTTAAGAGTGTTTGCCTTACTAAACCCGTCTTCAGTTTTGAATGCATGCTGTTATGCACCATAGCAGTAAAGGGATAACAGGCCAAAGGAAAACAAAGTGATAGTTGGCATACTGCCTTGCCTGTTTGCTTCTTTTATTTTGGCTTCTGCGTGCGAAAAAAGTACAGGAAATATTCTGATTTTGCTCAGTGCCCTTAATTTGTTTATCCAACATCTGTTCTCTGTTCAGTATTCTGATATTTAAAGTTTCAATATTTTTCAGGGTACATAAAAAAATTTGAGGTCATCGATCCCCATAGAGTTGGAAAAAATCAATGTAGACCTTGATGGAAGGATTAAAGATTGTAAGAATCTTACCTATAGGCAGGACCACAGGATATTAGCGAAGGAAATAGAACAATACAGAATTCAAATGCTTCAAACGCGGCAGGTATTCCATCTCAATTTTTACCGCTGACATATTCAGTCAGTTGTTGATGAAGATCTGATAAGTTCTTGATTTGAATATTAGATACTGTATATGCTTTTGAAAGAATGGAAAATATGCAATATCAATTGTGTAAATTATGTTTAGGAGCAACTAAATGTTCGACTAGATTAGACAGTAGCCTAAATGTCTTAGTATCATGAACGCCTATTCCCTGAGAAAACTTTAATAATTGATGCTTCCAATTAGCGTAATTGTATTGTACCTTCTTAGTTGCAATTGTTTTGTTTCTGAGGCAGCACACTCTTTTGACATGTCAGTGCAAAATGTTTTAAAAGAGGTTGCAGTAAAATATGGACTGTGAGAAAAATGATAAGTAGCACCATGGATGAAGTGCCCCAGGTGCAAATGGCCTTTCGAGAAGCAAACAAATGATGGCTGCTGAGATCCATGGACCATGGGCTATCATTTTGGTGTAATAAGTCATTTTTGTCTAATACGATATCTTGCAATTTCCACTCCCATTTATGACATTTTCAGGGAGATTATGTTGCGGAACTAATTGGTGTTGTCTAGAGTGTATGTAATTAACTAGTCGTTACTCGATTCATATCTATTTTTGCAATGGGCTAGTTCCAAATTTACATATCAATTTAATGCTCTACTCCCTCATGGCCTCATTTTACAGTGTGGTATTTCAGCAGGGTTAATGGACTATTTCGTGATCACAACTCCAAATTTTGTTCTGGACCATGAGGAAACAATTAGCCAAAATGTGGGCGGGCAAGTCCATGGTTATTTTCATTGAGAAGGAACACTGTTTTTCCTATCTTGTTATGTCTGCCCTTGTTATCCTGTGTGCTATCGCTGAACCCATTTTGTTTCTACTTTGAGTAATGTTGCTTCTGTTTATAGCAACAAAAAAATTGTAACTCAAAGAACTATTAAATGCCAATTGTTAAACAAAAAGATTGTAATCCTTTGTTTGGAGTATTCATAAAAAGATTATAATCCTTTATTTGGAGTATTCTTTCTGTAGGCTTAATATGACAACTGCATCTAGATATTTGGAGATACATGAGTAACTATTTGGAGATACAAGCTTTTCAGAAATCTTGCCTGTACTGAAGGTTAAAATTTTCTCCTCTTTTTTGTCTGTAATCGTGGTGTTCATGTGTGTGAAATTGATGTTTTGACTGGAACTTCTCTAGCGTTGTCGTCAAATCATGAAACTCCTGTAATTCTGGGGGAGAACTGTAAGGGAAAACAAAAAAAAAACAAGGTAAATTCCTTGGATATCATACACTTGTGACTTGTGTTCGAGTCCCTGAAGATTTTTTTGGGTTTTGTAATCTGATAGAATATGCTACCTTTAAATTCTTAGGCGGAAGAAATATCTTTAATTTGTGGCAGCAGTGGAAGAAGTGCAAGAACCTGTTCACAAATCCCAAGTCATTGTCAAGGCCTCAGGGGACCAAATGAGGCGTTACATCCTTCACAAGAAAAATGTCGTACAAAATGTAGGGATTCAAATTTATGATTTCAAGGTTAATGCTGCAGTTTCAAACAAGTTATGTAACGTACGAATACCCGAAATGTTTCATCACATCACTGAGGAGGACCGTGCGATGTTTTAATCTAGATATAGGATTTTCAAACGATTTTGGAGGAAATTTGCTGGTTCTTGCGATATTCCCCTAATTCATTTTTTTTCCTCCCTCTGCAAAAAAGTAGGTAGATTCAAACTTTATCCGAAATAACTGGTGGATATTTGTACGCTGCCCCTGAGGAACTAGCTGGTCGTCTCCAGAAGTCCAGAGGAAGCCAAGAGATGGGCTCCGCTTCGCTGGCGACGCAGCCTTCGCCGGCGGCGTGCCTCCCGTCCCTGCCCGCCGGCGGCCGTCTCCGCCTCCGCCTGGCTCCACCACCCCGCGCTCCGCCGCGCCTCTGCAAGCGCGCCGGTATCTCATTACCCCTTCCAGTTTCCCTCTTTTTTTTCGTGTTTGTTCTTTGATTTTTTTAAAAAAAATTATTGTTTCAAATTTGAAGTTGCTTGCAATTCGGTCACTTGTTACCCTCATATGCGTACGATAAGTTGTTGTAGTGCAATTTTTTTTTCGTTTTCTTTCCATATGGTAGCAACCTTGGAAGTGAAATCATGGTTGATAAGGGCTTTGAATTTACATGGTACAACATTTTGTATCATGACTTCATGTTCATGATCATCTCCTTGAAATCTCTGAATGGCAGCAGAGCATTCCTAGGAATTTCTCATCAGCAGTAGTGGTTTGTACATGGACTATAGTCATTTTTAATTTTATTTATACGGTAGGCTGAAATTACTATACTTGTACTACTTGAACACATTCTGAATTTGTACCGTCTGTTTGGTGCTGATAGGTGTTGTTCTTATTGCTGTAGGCAAACTCCGGGTTGTTACCATCAGATCAGCTCATAGTGGTGTGAGCAATGTATCTGTAGAAACCCCTCCTGACAATGAGGCATCCGTGACCGGTGCTGCTTACGGCTTCAGAGGAGCAACAACATCGCTTACGAATGAGATGTTAACTTTGTCGAAGAAGATTACTCTTGTCAGGCATGGTTTGAGCACTTGGAATGCGGAAAGCCGCGTACAGGTTGGTATTTACCTTTCAATCAGAGGTTCACTGCAACTTCTGCTCCCATTTCTTTCCCATGATTAATATTTTGGTGAGGTGTACACTGTTTGTAGATGTGGTTTCTTTGTTTAAGTTTTGGTGCTCATTAGACTGCATGAACAAACAACCATTTTAACAATTTGTTTACGATACCTGTTGCAACTTTATATTTAGTTCATGGAATCTCCTCAATAATCGAGATGCATTTTATTGAATGCGTTAATGAACCAGTTTCTTTTGTCTAGGGAAGCTCAAATCTGTCCGTGTTAACAGAAACTGGTGCCAAGCAGGCAGAGAAATGTCGCGATGCCCTTGCGAACATGAAATTCGACGTTTGTTTCTCTAGTCCTATCTCACGGGCAAAGGTTCTAATTCAATAATCCTAATATGAATCTATCACTTGTTACCTAAATAACACAAATGCTTGACTACGTTGTTCTTTATACGCAGTCAACTGCCGAAATTATATGGAAGGGAAAGGAGGAGCCTCTTATATTTCTTGATTCTTTAAAAGAGGCTCATCTATTCTTCTTAGAGGGCATGACCAATGGTATGTTGTTGCTTGTACAAGCCTTCAATCTCTTCACTCTTACTGTCCATTTACGCAAAATGACCTTAGTAAATACTTGGAGGCAGCGGATGCTAAGAAGGAATATCCAGAGTTGTACACCAGATGGCGGGAGGATCCTTCAAATTTCAAGGTCAATGGCATATACCCAGTTCGGAAGTTATGGGGAACAGCAAGAGAAGCTTGGAAGGAAATCTTGCTTACTCCAGTATGAACCTTTCAACCTTTCAAATTCTCTTCTTTTGGGTATCTTGAACATTCATTCTGTTCTCCACATTTTTTGTGCCAGGGAGAAAATATGTTGGTCGTTACTCACAAATCTATTTTGCGCGCACTCATCTGCACCGCGCTAGGTCTTCCTCCTGAGAGGCAAGTTGGACCTTTCCTATGGCTACAGTTTGGAGTCTTATGTACACTTGGATTGGAAAAATTCGTTGAAAATATTACGAGTTGCTTCACAATATTACCCAACTTACAAGATTGCAAACATTTCCTTTTTCTTCTTTTTTTTTGAAATAGCAATTTAATCATGCAGGTTTCGTTCCATTGATGTGAACAATGGTGGCATGTGCGTCTTCACTGTAAACAAGCGAGGAGAGGCTATGCTTCAAGCCCTTAACATGACAGCACACATGTATAGTGACCATACATACCAGTATTAGTTATCTGTTCTTCTCTTTTTTGGGGGGGTGTCTGCATTTCTGTCAAGTATATTAGCAGTTTAGCACACCCTGATTAGACAAACTTCATTCTCGATGAAATAGCATGGATAGGTCACACAAATCGACCCTCTCTGATATAGTTGTTGATGTGAATATAAACTGTTTACAAGGATCAACTACTCAACTAGTGATGCGCTGAAAAGTGAAAACTGAACATTTTTTAACCAGTCTAAGCAAGCTTTGATCATCAACTACTACTTATGTACTCCCTCCGTCCTCAAAAAAAAAGGCATCCTGTATTTTCGTGTCCAACGTTTGACCGTCTGTCTTATATGAAATTTTTTATAATTAGTATTTTCATTGTTGTTAGATGATAAAACATGATTAATACTTTATACGTGACTTGTCTTTTTAATTTTTTTCATATTTTTTTCAAATAAAATGGACGATCAAACGTTGGACACGAAAATCCAGGGTTTGTCTTTTTTTTTGGGATGGAGGGAGTAGGTCACTTGTACATTTTTTCTGGATTTTACCCCATGATATATGGTTTTCTGAGTGAGAATGAATATCACAACCAACTGCACTATTAAGAAAAAAGGAAGAAAAATGCTGAATGACCATGAGTTATGACAACCAATTGCACCCTTAATAAAGAAAAAGGAAGAAAATTGCTAATGACCAGCCATCTGGGAGAAACAGGGCTTCTAATTGGCTGTCATTTGATAACGAGTCATGATATGAGCAGTAAACCCTGTTATTAAAACAAGAGAGGACAAGAGGGATTTTGTCTGTATCCTTTCCGTTGACTCCAGAAGGGATTTCTTTACTCACAAAATAACTTCATTTTTAACCGTCTGAGATTGCGACCTCTGACCCTGTCATGTAATAACTGGTTGAAGGAAATTTTGGACTTTAACCAAATCGTGGATAACATAAATAACCGATGTGTCAAACATCCTAAACAATTTTGAAACTCTCATGTGACATATCCTTCTGAAATTTACAATTTTACATGCCATACTGGATTAAGAAGCCACAACACAAAACTTACAATTTTTCTGTTTACATAATAGTAGCAGTTGCGATCTATATCACTAGCTAGCTGTATACAGAAACTATGTGCTTTCATACTATAACGTTTGATCATCACTACTATAGAAAAGCCTTTACAAGAAAACATATAAAAAAAATAAGAGATTTTCTCCCATTCTTGAAGAGGCACAGACGTCCGTGGCATTTTTATCCAACGGCTATATAACTCTCCAAGAATAATAAGAAACCTCTTAAAAAAACAGGCTGTTAATCTCACTTACAAGCACCTACTCTATCTCAAAATAAATAAAATTCTGTACATAATTCTGTACATAAATAAAAATTAATTTATTTTAGAACGGAGAGAGTACTACTGACTCTAAATTTAGAACGACACCTCTACTACTCTAAAAAGCTAAAAAGCTAGTAGTAGAGATGCTCATGGGAACATGGGGAGTGTGTAAATGGAGTACATGAGCATGAGGTAGTAGAGGACGATGGTGGCGGAGCCGGCGACGAGAGCCGACCTGACGCGGTCGCAGAAGAGCGGCACCTGGACACAGATCGCGATCCAGCCGGCGTGGCTGTTGCCGTTCTTCCCCAGCTCCGCCATGGCGCCCGCCGCCGCGAACGCGCCGGCGAGCACCATGCCGAGCACCACGTCGGCCATCAGCAGCAGCCTCGCGGCGAGCTTGCTCGTCGACGACGGCACGAGCAGGACGACCAAGCTGCACGCGCTCACGGCGGCGTTGGCGGCGACGAAGAACCTGCATCCAGGAGATCGGTCGGTCGGTGGAATTCTTCAGGAACATAACTGCAAATGCAAACGAAATGTGCCAGTGCTTGTGGTGTTCTCTCCCAGAATAAACGAGTTAGTATGGGACATATTCAGATTCGTAGTATTAGAAAATGTTAAATCCCGTATTAGATTCCTTTATTTAAGGATGATGAAGAGAGTAGGTGCGTAGCGTGGCTTGTTTTTTTTCCTTTTTTTGACGATAACCTTCCAAACCTGTTGTCTTGTATCTTTTTTCATGTTTTATCAATATGAAACCTCTGCACAAATACGGTGCTACTGTGCTATTGCAACTTACACTAGCGATGGAGTGTAGCGGAACTTGGCCTGCACCTCCATGCCGTAGACGATGACCTCATCATGGCTCATGGCCATGAGCACCGCCGCGACCGCCGCGGCGCCGGCGGCGGCCACCCTGAGCACGACGGCGACGATCCACCGAGCCTTGGCGGAGAACATCTTTGTGTGTGTGTTTGTGTGTGGATGTGTGTTACAAGGTGATTGACACACTGAGAGCCTGAGAGGGAGAGAGGGCGGCAATATGTGTATTTGAAACTATGAAATGCTCAAGATAATGATAAGGGTACAAGCAGATAATGTTAAGAGTACATGAAGTGGTTTCGTGATGTGATGGATTAAGTAGGAGAAGAGTTGCATGGCATCTTTAATATAGGACTTGCCAACTAGTATAATTGCACAAAAAATATTAGTTTGTAGTGTCGGCTTTGTTTTTTTAAAAAAATGATGGTTATGGGAGCGGTTTATAAATTATAGATGTCCCCATAAACCGATGGTTACCTGTTGGAAAGATGTGAATTTGAATAAAATTTGCATTAAATTAAAAATTTAGAATTGTTCCCATCCGATTATTGTCATGTAGCACAAGTATTTGGCGCCCTTGTTCCTTGAATCTTTCTTACCCTTATGTTTGCATGCACATGCTTAACGTAACAGAACTTCTTTTTAGTATTTTACCACGGTTGATGTTATTAGAACAACTCAATTTTGCTCCTTCTGAACCCTCAAGGGATATCTCTTGTATATATCACAAACAAATTAAAGAAATACAACAGGGAGAGGCCCCTTTAGCTTAAGCTTCTTAGGATGAACAATGATCAAGCCAATTAGCTAGTGTAGTTTAAAATATGAGACTGTCAAATCAGCCGGGCAGCTTCCTCAAGAAGTTAGGACGATGATGCTGTCTTATTAACTGCTCCGTGTCACAGGGGCCCCCGATGTTTTCTTGCCCTAAGTAGTCATCGCGGCTAATCCACATCCAGAAAAGAAAATTTCAATGATTTATTAATCTGAAGCTGGTAGCCCTGGTACACAGGTTTTTTCTGCGAGGCCGCAAGTTTTTTACCCTTTGTATTGACTGCAAAATGGAAACTATTTCTGTATATATATCTCCAACTAGTTAAACTCCCTCCATTTGCGCTTTTGTCTTTTTCTCTTTCTCCTTAGCACGTGATATACTATTCCATTTTTTTAAAAAAAGTTCCACTCGTTCATGTGTACAACCTCAACCAGACCGTTGTTTTTTTAAAAAAATGGCCATGTATAGCAGTCTTATTTTTTTCACTTATGCTTATACTTATTAGCCAAAATTTGAATTTTCAACTTTAAATTTAGAGTTGATTTTGAGGTTTTTTCGTCAAAGTTTATTTTTCAGCCTTTGTTTTTAAATCGCTAAGAACACACACATATATATAACTATTCACAAATTATTTTCCATTTGCAAATATGTTATTTTGTTTATTCCCTGACTAAGCGAAACGATGAAGTCGTAGATTGGTAATAGAAGCAACCTGGCATTCACATCAAACCGAAGTGAAAATTTCCAGTTTTGATTGTTTGGAAGGTGTTTCCTTTCAAAAAAGAAATGAAAAGGAGAAATGGGGTTGCACTCTTCATGATTGCAGGAACCAAGTTTATCTCTACTTAATTTGATGTATACTAGTATGAAAACTTGAAGGAACCGTTTTCTTGTCGTTTAACTGGGACAACAATGGTATTCGTTTAAAAATAGGAGAGAAAACCAAGTCCATTTTTTTAATTTAATAGAGAGGAAAACGTGTGATTGATCGGATAAGACGAACGAAACATATATTAATTTAGCCTCATAAACCAACACGACACACGGAGAGCGATGTGACTGTGTTATGCTGTGAAACATTAAAAACAGTGGTCGTTACAAAAAAATTGGTGTCGTGTTGTACGCAGCATATGCAACGCCACTACCGGTAAACATCAAAGTGAGAACAAAGGTTTGTAATGTCGGCACGTACGTATACATGCATGCCGATTACCCGCACGTATAATGTAAATTTAAGATGTAAAAAATTTGAATTTGAAATGTCAACTCTACTCTCTTACGTACAAGGGTCATCTGTCTTTACACTCAAAACAAATAAAAAAGAAATGTAAACTAATTCGCTTTAATCCATTCACGCCGCCCATGTTTCCTCATCCCCTCACTCGATCTATGGGGAATTACATTGTGAGTGTTGATATGTTTGCCACATATTTGTGATTTACTAATGTACGATGTCTATACACTTTAGTCGGAAACATTGGTAACTGATATATTATTTTAGACTAGGGGATATCCTGTGCAATTTTGTGCGGAACTAAGGTAATTGAAGTAAAATTAGTTTTGATATGCAACTCTATATTTTATTTCTATAGATTCAATTGTATTTTCTCACAATAAAACTTAAAGTTATAACTGGATTTCATATACAACGACTCTTATGTTAAAAGTAAAATTAGATATAACTGTGTATTTGCATAAAACTGCATTAATCCACCTACACTATTATAATTTGAACCCATCACAATCTAACCGTTTAAATATTTATCTGTTTTATTAATGCGAGAATCTCTAGCCTTCAAAGCGAAATGTGGTGAGTTCTTTTTAGTTATTTTTGTAATATAATAAATTTTAGATTCCAACATTTGGCCAGTAAGCAAGAGGTGAAAAGAGAAATCGCTACTGATTTGGTTACATATTATGGAACAAATTAAATGACCGGAAAACAATTCTCCCTTTTAACCAAGGGCATCACTGCCATTAGTTTTACGAATTGCATAGGCGAAAAGTCCCTTTTTCACGAGGCATACATCTAATTTATTTAATAACAAGAAAGAGAAGAAAAACACGTTTGATGATATGGTAAAAAAACAGAGCATATATTGAGCTTCACACCCAAGAAATGATGTGATTTTACGAAGCTTAGAAGCAACCAAAATACAGTGGTCGCTGTTAAAAAAATGGCACTGGCGGTGAAATTGAAAACGGCGGACAAAACAAAAGCTCCACGGCCCAACGGCCAACGCGCTTCGCCCCTGTGTTGTGTATTGTGTACTTGTGTGCCGTGACGATCGCTACCCCATATGTGTTAAATCCGATGGCACGGTCATTTTTGGCTTCAGAAATAAGCTACTCATCGTCTTCCAGGGTTCACCTTTCTGATTGAACATTAGACGTTGGGATCTTTAACCCTCGACGGTATGTTGGTTTTCGTCAGATTTTCGATCATTTTAATTGCATTTATGTTGTTTCAGATCTGAATTCTAGATAATCATTCGAAATTTTAGTCGAAATCCACTTTCACCCCGCATCAAAAAATTCAAAATGTTTTCATGGTTTTCATCGAAAATGTGAGCCATATAGTTTAAAATATGAGACTATCAAATCAGCTAGGAATATTTATATTTTTGAATGGAAAATATGTCATTCCGTGTGAAATAACGATGAAATGGGTTTGTAATGCTGTACAGGGTTTATCCTTCCGATGAACGGTACCTGGATCCGCAACATTAAGGTAAAACGGTATTTGCCAAATTTCATTCAAATTTACTATTTTAAGTGTGGATCTTAAAAAAGAAAAAGTGTGAATTATCTCTCTAAATTACTGTAACAGTACTAATTACACCCATAAACTATAAAGCCAGATATTTTAAACATCAGACCCTTCAACCCAAACGAATTATCCCCTAACTCGGTACAGAGTGGTTTTATCATACATTTAAATTCGTTCCGCATCAGAACCTCGAAATCTCATGGTTTTCAGCTGGTTTTGGTCGGAAAACGTGCAGCCCCATCGTTTGGTTGTTTGGTGGAATAAGCCAAACGGCATATTCTCGAATGGAAATTAATTTATGAATAAAACTTTATATACATACTCCTATGGTGGGAGATTGGTTCTTCTTACTCGATTCTTTCGAGCCTTCCCATGTTCATGTTATCCTTTTTTTGAAATACCTCGAGGTGTACTTCAAAGACTGGATTACTACCGATCGAGCTTTTTATGGAGAAGTGATAGCCAGAAAAAGAAATATAGGTTAACAAAATGGGATTATATATGCCGGCCAAAAGATCAAGGTGGACTGGGTATCCTAAATCTTGATATCATGAATAGATGTATGTTGAGCAAATGGCTATTCAAGCTTCTTAATGGTGATGGCATATGGCAAAACCTTTTACGCAACAAGTACTTAAAAGGTAAACCCCTCTCCCACATGTCACACAAACCAGGAACATTCCAAATTTGGGCTGGCTTAATGAAAGGAAAAGATCAATTTTTTCAGTATGGATCTTTTAAACCTGGTAATGGGATGGAAATAAGATTTTGGGAAGACACATGGTTAGGCTTGCAACCACTCAAATATCAATATCCTTCTCTGTACAATGTGGTTCGAAAGAGACATTCTACTTTGGCAGAGGTTATGAGCACAACACCGTTAAATGTTTCATTCCGATGATCAATTGTAGGACCAAAGTTAGTTGAGTGGAATGATTTGATTTCTCGACTAGCTAATATAACCCTGTCAAATGAAAAAGATTGCTTTATTTGGTCGCTACATAAAAATGGCTATTTTTCGGTCAAATCCATGTATAATGCGATCATCAATTCCAATGTAAGAATCCACAAGAGGATCTTATGGGAGGTAAAGGTACTACTAAAAATAAAAGTATTTATGTGGTTTCTTCAAAAAAAGTAATCTTGATGAAAGATGACCTCATAAAGAGAAAATAGAGGGGAAACAAGCAATATTGTTTTTGTAATACACAAGAGATCATCCAACATCTTTTCTTTGACTGTCATGTTGCACGTTTTGCTTGGCGATGTGTCTTCTTTGCCTTCAATATTCCCCCTCCCCACAATGCAAAAGATATTTTTGGTAACTGGCTAAGGGGAGTGCCTAGACCCACAAAAAAAATGATTTTATTTGGAGCTAGTGCTCTATGTTGGTCAATTTGGCGTTGCCGTAATGATATGGTTTTTAACCATAAAAAAATGCCTAACATCATGCAGGTTATCTTCATGTGTTCCAATTGGCTCCACTCTTGGTGTATGATGCTTTCACCGGAATAACAGGATACTACGCGCAATGGTGCTACACACTTGGAATTGGTAGCCAAGGAATTTTTACTCCAGTTTGGATGGTGTAGTAACTACAGAATTTCGTGATAGAATCTATATGATTTTAAAAAAACATGATTTTAGTAGATCATATTATTGGCAGAAGTTGGGGGTTTGTCCCATCTCGCCTTTTTTTAAGCTCTTTTCTATTCACGTGCCTACGGGCAGAGGCCGGAGATGTAACACATTTCTATTATCTAAAAAAAATATACATGTTTTTATTACTCTAAAAGTAAAAGCTGGAAAATAAACTTTGATTAAAAAAACCTAAAATCAGCTCTAAATTAAAAATTAAAAATTAAAATTTTGGCTGATATGTATAAGAATTAGCGTAAAGATGGGGCCGGTGAATCCCTGCTGCTGCGCGTACATCCAACTGAGTTTTCTGCGATGGACGGTGACACTGCTACGCGAGTTCAGAGAAGCTTGTGACCGTCCATTTTTCTCAATTCAGAGAAAGTAGTAATTCAGCAGCAGAGCTGAGAGAACAGCGGAGGAGAAGCAAAGCTCACCACCACCAATGGCGGCGATCGCCGCGCCTCCGCCGCAGCCTCACCCACCCGCGTCCGCCCACCACCACCACCACCATCGCCGCCGCGCCCGTCTCCCCCGCCTCGCCGCCGCCTCCTCCTCCTCCTCCTCTTCCCGCTTCCGCCGCCGCTTCTCCTCTTCCTCCTCATCCTCATCCCCTTCGTCCGCGCCCTCACCCTCCCCCTCCTCCTCCTCCTCCTCCTCCTCCTCCTCCTCCTATGGGGGAAGCGGAGGGGGAGGCGGGGGAGAGATCCACTACGCGTCGCCGCCGCCGCCGCCCCCGGCGGCGCCGACGGGGGCGCCCGTGTACGTGACGCTCCCGGCGGACGCCGTGGGGCCGGGGGGCGGGGTGGCGCGGCGGCGCGCCATGGCGGCGTCGCTCGCGGCGCTGGCGGGGGCAGGGGTGGCCGGGGTGGCGGTCGAGCTGTGGTGGGGGGTCGTGGAGCGGCAGGGGCCCGGGGTGTACGACTGGGCGGGGTACCTCGAGCTCGCCGCCATGGCGCGCCGCTACGGCCTCCGCGTGCGCGCCATCCTCGCCTTCCACCAGTGCGGCGCCGGCCCGCACGACCCTCCATGGTGCGTCTCGCCTTTGCCCTGTGTCTCACTTCCGCTTTATATTTGTTGCTCTGATGTTAGGTTTTAAGGTTTGTGGAATGAGCATTGCGCTGCAAAATGTGAAACTCCTGGATACCACAACCCTCTTAAATTAGGAATAGATGTTTGTATGTGCATAATGTGCTTTAATGGTTGTTCAATTTCTCTCGGCACAATTGTACAAAAAAGTGCCACAGTTTTGCGCCATAGGTTAGCTTTCTGGACGGCGATGAATGTAGATAGGGGTTATCGAGTATGAAGTACAGCACAATGCATGATCATAAGATTGGCATCATATGCAAGTTTCCAGCACTGCCACCAGATTAGAAACTTCTTTTATGGACTGTGAACCGTTTGTGTGGTGGATGTAGGAGTGGAGCTTTCCAGATTGAAACGTGGCATTTTGACTCTATTAGGAAAAAAGGAGGAAAAATATATGTTCACAGGACCAAAATTTGTGTCATGGAGGTTGTGATCCATAACATGTTTAGATGTAAATGTTGGGTAGGGGTGTTTATTAAGATTGAGTGATATCTAGTATTCACAAATTACCATGTTTGCTTTGATTTATGGATACTTATATCTTAAGGAGGTATTCTACCATGTTTGTTCCATTTGAGATCATGCTCCTGCTGTTTCAAACCATGTTTGTGGGAGTACTTAGCAATGTTCTAGAGCTGAAAGTTGACTAGGAAACGCGACATCCAATTACAAGTTCACAACATGTTGCGAAGGATAAAACATTTTGTCTGTACACCTTGGTGTTCAGCTCTTACTATATGACCCCTGCATCAAAATATTGTAGCTGTGTCCCTGACCATGATCCCTTGAGCTAGTGAGCATGGTTGTGTTATATATATACTGTAGATCCACAGAACAAGTGTGGGATTTGCATACTACTTTGTGGTTTTGTGGTGATATGTGTGCAAAGTACCTTCAGATTATACGTAGTTTTCTCCTATTGGAGTCACTAAAACTGTATGTATGTTAATAGAAGTGTAATTTGTTTCTACAGTAGGTAGTTTGCCTCTATCAGAGCTGCTCAGATGTGCACGTATCTGAATAGCAGTGGCATATACGTTTGTCACTAGATCGAAAAAAAGGAATGGTTGAAGAGAAAAGAGATCTTAAACAGTGCCCGTAGACTTAATAAGCAAATATCTGGATTTATGTTATTAAAATATATCTACCAGTATGTGAGAACCCTAAGATCGGATAGATAAGAAAGGGCAAAGCAGGAGCTGTCGATGGCACACGAGAATCCAGTAGGAATAGGAATAGGAGCTGTCGATTGGTAAAAGAAATTAGCACAAAGTAAGCAACTTAGATGATATAGGCATGCAACAGGATAAGATTAGGAGATAGCCATGAAGAATAGGAAAGAGTGGAGATGCGTGTTCTTGGATGTTTCCTAGTTTGAGTATGTCGGCCACATAACTTTTCAGGATCAAGCAATAAATAACAATTTCTTTCCCAATTGCATTTTTTCAAACTCCTCTAGTTTCTCTTTTTCCTGTTCTGTTTGTCTATTCCTACCACTGCTAGTCATCCTGCCACATGGCACCAACTTGCCAGTGACGATCTCACTACTTAGTAAATAACTAACATGAAGGCCTGGCTACAAGATAACTGAACTAGTAATCTAGCTGAGTTGGTTAGATCTTTTTTTTTTTTTGTAATCAAGTTCAAATTCAAATTCCATGAGCATAGTCAAGGCAGATACTGTTACAGTGGTGCATGGGTCCAGACACATCAGTTCAGGTTGTGCTTCACATGACATTCATGTTGGGTTATTGATGTCACTGCTTTGGTATCTTTGATCTTTTGTCAGTCAAACGAAGTACTTTTACTGTCTGGTCCAAGCCATTGTGAGTCAATCACCATGCGTGATACCTATGAATACATGACTGCAGTAAATCAATTGTTGCCAGTTGCCTGATTGATGTAATTTGTAAAAGCGAAACTTAGCTGAAATATGTGGTTTTCTTAACCTCTGGGCCACATTTTGCCAAGAATTTTGATCAACAGTTGATTTGGATGCTTAGTTCGCACACTTGGTGGTAATATTGAACTCAGAACTAGTATATATTGTCTACTAAGACAAAAGCTATTACATATAGACTGTGAAGCCACCGTGATCATGTCAGAATTTTGTTACATGTTCGCTTCATAATTGTTTTCAAATCTTTCCATGTTAGCCTTTTGCATTTGCTATGTAGTATATACAGCCAAGCTACTCATCGTTCCTTGTTCCCAGATAGTTATATACAAGTGTGGGCTTGATGGCTATTGTATTCATGCAAAAGATCTTCCCATTGCTCATTGTTGAAATTTCACTTCACCTGCTTTCAGGATCCCTCTACCTCAATGGGTACTTGAGGAGATGGATAAGTTGCCAGACTTGTCATATATGGATAGATACCAACGAAGAAATAAAGAATACATCTCACTCGGGTGTGATATTCTTCCGATTCTGAAGGGAAGATCACCAATGCAGGCTTATTCAGACTTCATGAGGAGCTTTCGAGATGCTTTTAAAGAGTACCTTGGGGCTATAGTGACAGTTTGTGCTCTTTCTTGGTATTTAAGCATGTCATGTTAAATTTACAGCACCAGTAGGTTGTAAGCCTTATATAATAATTGTCGTTCAGGAAGTTCAAATTGGAATGGGCCCAGGAGGTGAACTTAGGTATCCATCATGCCCAACTGAGACACTAAGTCAAGCAGGCATCTCATCTGAACTCGGGGAGTTTCAATGTTATGACAAGGTACACAACATCACAGATCTTAGCCAAATGTCACTTATATATAGAATGCTAGCATGCTAAAATGTACTCTTTTGGGGCGTCTAATGATTGATCCCAAGATTTACTAACCATGGTGTATGCCGTAGGTTTCACATTCACCTGTTTAAACCAACTAGATTATGTGGTTACAACTTGTATGTAACTTTGAACTTAAAATCAAGTTACTTGTCTCCTGTTCCAGCTTATATCAAACTGCTATGTGTAAAGATATACTTTACCTTTTATTGAACAAGGAAATGAATAAGCAGGCATTTTGGCTTCAGCTTCTAAGTCCTTAATCTGAAGCTAAAGTGGTTTCAACTGTTAAGCCTGCCATATACCCCTTCTTTTTGAGGAAGCAATATTGAATTATGTCTTTTTCTCTTAAGTCAAACCTCAATAAATAAAGTGCTTTCTGTTGTGAAATACCAATACTCTTTTGCCATCTAGCATCAAAAGATAGACTGATCACCATATTCTGTTTTATGTGGACAGTTCATGCAAGCATCCCTGAGTGCTCGTGCACAACTTATTGGCATGCAAGATTGGGGAAACGGTGGTCCAGCCGGCACAGATGGCTCACGACAGAACCCTGAAGAAACTAGTTTTTTCCGTGCTGATGGTGGATGCTGGAATACTCCTTATGGTCGGTTTTTCCTTGAGTGGTATTCAGGAATGCTGCTTCTTCATGGAGAGAGATTATGTATGGTTGCTGATGCTGTCTTCTCTGGTTCCGGTGTGACCATCGCCGGAAAGGTTTCTGGAATACATTGGCACTACTATACATGTTCGCACCCATCGGAACTGACTGCTGGTTACTACAACACATTGTTGAGGAACGGTTATCTTCCTATCACCCAAATGTTTGCTAGATACAAGGCTGCCTTGTGCTGCAGTTGCTTTGACCTGAGGGATGAGGAGAGAAATAACTCCAAGAGCAGCCCAGAAGGTACTCTCCGGCAACTTATGGTCGCCGCCAAGATGTGCAATCTACCTCTGAACGGCGAAAACTCCGTGACAAGGCTCGACGATACGTCGCTGAATCAAGTCATCAGAAGCTCAAGGCTCTACTCAGGTGGCACCTCAGGGACATCTTTCTCCTTCAACTATGTCAGAATGAACAAGAGCCTGTTTGAGTTTCACAACTGGAACAGGTTCACCAAGTTCGTCAGGCAGATGTCGGATGCCAGGACATTTCTAGCCAGGCTCGAGTTCAGGAGAGGGCAGCATTACCTCTCCTCGATGTCGGTTGTCTGGGTCGTCAGCCGGGCCTGTGCATAGACATGAATCAGAATTGGCAAAGTGACTGCTAGAAATGTAGTGTTGTTCGTGTATCTGTAACTTGGATCATGAATGTGATTCGACAGAATTGGAAGAGAACTTTGTGCTCAGCCATACCGTGATGATCTGGTTTCTACATGTGTGCTTGTGATCTGTTGTTAGCTTAACAGCTGTTCAAGGTCGAGCAGCTGGGCTGGGCTGGGCTGGATGTAAAATCCACCCACAAGGCCACAAGGCCACAGGTCGGATGGCCCAGCCATAACCCGAGATGCGAAGCCCAACAGGAAAAGGATAAGGGTGTGGCATGTGGCCCATCCAAATTGGGTTGGGAGAGGGTTCCGGCCTACGTGCGGCCCGTATAGGTTGGGCTGGAACTGTAGAGCGGGCCCTGGAAGTGATGAGACTAACAGCTGCCATTTGTTCCAATGTGAAATTCCCTGATGCAATCATGCAACAATGGAACTGCCGCTCCTAAATCTAAATGAACTGAGATGTTTGCATTTGATTGCTTGTCTAGCTGTACCGAAAATTCTGTATTTGCAGTATTGCACAGCATATGTGAACTCCCTGGGCTGATACATCATACATGTAGTTGATTGGTTACACAATTACGGTTGAGTGCTAGTAGTACACAATAAGTATGGCCGTATGCATGAATCTACGACTTAACATTTCCACCAGATCACAAACCTTTTTTAAAGAAATTGGTCCAAGGTTCCAAAGCGTTTACGGGGTAGATCATTAGAATTGAGATGCGGCATTAGCATTGGGCCACAGATGATGCCACTGCTACCGATATCTTAGTTCCTCATGGTGGTACAAAACATTGTCTGGCCCAAGCAATTTTTGGTAGATGAATATGGTGAATACTGAAGCTCTTTTTTTTTCCACGAATACTGAAGCTCATTGATCGTACATATACCGGTAATCTACTCTTCAATATTCCTATCTTTTTTCTTACCAGACATGTGGGCGACTTGCATTTATGCAAAAGATGTCAAAACCATGATGGTTATTTGAGATGGTTAACGATGACAGGCTTATCATCGAGGGAAAGATACCAATGAAGAAACTAGAGATTCATCTCACTAGAGTTTTATCAGTAATATGGCTGAACATCCAAAAAAAAAAAACTATTCTACTGGAGAAGTCATTCATCTCTACTCTGTATCCCTGAATGTGACTAAATATTTTACCGGATAATGTACAACTGTAATTGAATTTTGGACGGCAACTACTCTCTGACAATAGTTTAAAAATTGGGGGAAAAAGTTCATATAATGCTCTTAGTTTTTTCCTAGAGAAAATGCAGCTGCAAATAAAATGAATAACCCAACTGAGCCTCCAAAATCTTAAAAACTTGGGAAATTAAAACTGAAAAAGAAATAATGTGCCTCCAAACTAATCGACTTCTGGACAGCGAAGATATTAGTATTACACCAATTAACCTTTGTAACTTGAACATCAGAATTTTCCAGCACCAAGGGCTTAATATGTACAGTATTGACTACAAGTGCCGTTTTGCACAAGTACATGTATTCGAACCAAAAATTGATACAATAATCAAACACAATGAAGTAGCTACTGCTATCTAGCAAGAGAACTAGATTAACAACAGGTGAGACTGACCTCGCAGAACATGTATGCACCCATGGAACGAAAATGCTGACCTGAATTATCAACCTGAGCTTCCACAGGAACTACCAAGGTGTGCCGCAACATCGCTAACCAACAGCCTGATGACATGGCTACCAGAGATCTCCATGCATTCTTCCAAGTCCGCGTTGCATGCTAACTTCACCCACTCATGATCATCGTCGAGATACTTGATATCAAACATGCCAACATCCATCCTTAGCCTTTTGGCTACTTCATCTTTCAATGCAGTAACGCTACCGGAACATGGGAAGCGGAACCTGACAATGTCTTCCTTAAAGCTAGCCTTTATGGTCACCGTCCCTGAATTTTGCATCAGCGCCAAATTGCTTGAACGTGCTAAAAATGGTTGATCAACTGCTGAAGTGAAGAGATTCTTCAAATCTTTGGAACTTCCAGAATCCTCAATGAGCATCCTGGAAAGCGGTAGTGCTGGTTCTTGAAAGGGCTCTTTAGTAAACGCCTCTGGAATTAATTGTGGTTCAGCGAACGTCGATGCAATTGGCTTGCAAACAAATGTCTGGTTTGCAGGACTTCCATGGCATGAGGCCTCTGAGGTACGTGAGTTTATACTGCCTTCTCCAGATGAGCTTCTCGAGTGAGAAGCTTTGTCTGCTTCAAGTTGCAAGTTATTGTTTGCATCTATAAACCCTTGCTGTGACATCAATATAGCTAAGTTGTCATTTTCTATTGGCTTTTGCAAGGATGAATCTCTGTCCCCCTCAACAGCCAGATTTGAAAGTTCTGCAACTTTATTTGGACTTGCTTTCTCTAGATTCTGAGAATCTGATGAAGGTCCAACAGGAATAGGGAGAGGACCTGTGATAGACGTGAGATTAAATGCCGCATCTGAGCCTTGAACAGACTCAATTACCTGCTTTAGTTTTGAGAGAGACCGGTTGACCTTGTTAATTTTTCGAGATGGCCAACGAGAAATCCCATGTTGCCTGCAGATGCGTTTCATGGTTGTGGGACATACTGTCAAATAGAAAAATAGAATTAGTTAATGCTAACTGTATCCAATAGTCGAACTACCAAAAATGTTGTTATCATTGGAAGATTCAATATTCTACGCATCTATTCACTCTCTTAGATTAAAAAAAGGGACAAGGAATATACAACCATACAAGGAAAAGAAAGTTTGCAGAGCTCAGTGAATATACAACCATAAAAGCACCTAGTGATGGCATCAAGGTTATTAACAAAATAAAAACAAAAATAAGATCCCGAATGTCAACTATATCAAAAACATAGTTCCATAATAAATAAAACAAAAAAGCAGATGCATTATGCATACAAAATAGAAGCGCATATCTGCAAGCTACATTTCAGTCTAAAATGAATAAATACAGGTAGATAGCAAAATAACATTCTCCTTTCAAGGGTACACAGGGAATTTTCTCTTTTCATTTCCATGTGCATACTTCACTGGTTCACTAGATACAAGTATACAACCCCACGCATACCACATAAACAGATTCATTGACCCATGCACATATGCGTGAGCCAGTACTATTTGCAGCATGTCATGCATCGCTCCTACAAAATTGAGAAAACAGTGGTGTGCCACAAACCCATTCCTTGACCTAATCAAACCGTGTTCTTAGTAACTATGTTCCTGCACTAGCCAGGACTAAATTGTCATGTATTGGAAGCAAACATTAATTCATGCGTTTAATGTGGCAATAGTAGAGTGGGAAATATGTCAGAAAGAGTGGGACATAAAAGGAAGAGAAATATGAGCTCAAATACTAGTCATACCACCAAGGCTTTTTGCTGCATTTTTTAGGCTTCCTGAGAAATATTGCTGAAGAACATCTAAGCTGATTGTTTTTTCAGCTTTTCCTCGTCTCCTTTCAGGGGGTTTATTACTTTTGTGAAGCGAATCAGAAGCACCACTACCATTTGGCCTGCCAACAGATGCCCCATTGTTTTGAGAGTTGTCATCAGCTAGCAAATGTCTCTCTGACATGATTGAAACTTTGTTGCCATCATTATCAACCTCGTGGACTCTTTGGCTTCCATTACTTTCAGGCGATTCACGAAAGCAACCTTCAGAATTCTCAAAGTGCACATTTGTCTTCAAATCTTCAGTCTCAATTATTAGCACATTACTTATTTGCAGACAAACTTCATTGGTGTCTCCGTTGCCAACTACCTTTAGGGTACGAAGGCACTTCTTCATTCGAGCTAATATGGACTCCAACAAGGCATTTTGATCATCTTCGTTCCTGCAATTTGGTGGCAGGAAGAACTCTAATATATAATCATCATCTCCAGTATACATACTTTGCAAACATATTGCAAAGCAGCCAGCTAGACCAAACATTCGAGCATAGTGTACAAGGGGATACTCCAACTTGCAGAATTGACTGATATCTTTAGAAAAGCAAGGTCGACGATAGATAAAAGCCTTCCCAGAAACTCCTTGTCCCTTCTGTAGGTGATGTTCTACACATGCATCTCTAAATCCCCACATATGAGCATCGATAACATGAAATGCCACATCACTGGTTGACATGCAAACCTCCCCCATGCAACTTCCATCAAAGCTCAAACAACTCTTCTTAACACCACCGCCATGTGCCAGTACACTTCGATACTTGCAAGGAACCCAGGTTTGAGCCAAAGGAAGCTTGTGCTCTTCACATACGACCGTCAAGATCTCCAGTATCTCCACCAAAGCAGATTGGCGGCCTTCATTGCATATCTGAGCAAGAAAGAAGATTAAAAAATGAGCATAACCCATCCCCACAGTGGAAACAGGAAAACTTATTTGTCTAGATTGATTGAATGCACACCTGGACATTCGGATGGTCCAATATCTCAGTGCTTTTGAGATTTACTGCCTGCAGGTAGCACAAGAAAATGTAAGATATAACTAGATTAGAAAAAACTTATGCTACAGATGGTTAATACAGCTGCTAGTTAACGATATAATGTCCACATATCCAACCAGACAACCAGTATCCAAGCAAAAATGTATACAGCAGGCAGACAAAAGACTAACCTCAAGAGCTTTGCAGACTTTATCAACCTCACCAGCATAGTTGATCTTCTTTGATGTCATTATAAGTTCAACAACCGCAATACAATTTTGAACAGAAGGATCAAAAACAGGCAAGGCTACAGTACCATGAACATTGTAACTGATTGCATGGTTAAGGCGTGGGTACTCAGTACTGCTATAATACTGCACATTCGGTGTCCACTCAGGAACCTTTTGTTTGTACACACGCCCAGGTAGCCCCAGCTCTCCAGCATTTTCTCCATCCACCGAGAACATGTACATCATGGATACAGCCCTGTACTGAAGAAGCCCAATACTCTGCTGGTCAAGTACAAAGGGCTGTCCTGAAGTAGTAAGCACATACCGGTCTCCACTCTTAACCGGTGCCCAAACTTGAACCAGCAGATGCTGATCTGTGGACTCCTTGAAGTATCTAAGAGCCTGTGTAAGCCTCTCCTTAAACAAGCATGAGCTGTCCGTGTTATCATCAATAGATAGGTGAAACTGCCATTTGCTATTAATCTGATCAACCCTCTTACTAGTCGTGTCAGAATTCCCTAAATAACAGAAAAGCATGCAATACTATCAGGAAAAGAAGGCAAAAAGTATATAAAAGAAGAAGGGATAATAACATTGCTAATTGAATGGATAATAAGCTTCACTACGCCTGACCATTCGTTCCAAACCTAGAGCTATTGCGACAAACAAATCCATGTTTCAGTAATGATACACTATGTTTCTTATCAAGTTTGATAACTGTAATTGCTTCATGTTATTTTTCAATGAAGTGAAGCGAATCAACAATGCTGCAAATCCCATCACCGATCCAAAACCATT